TAGGGAGGGAGTGCTCCCTTTGCACATCACTGCCTGGACTTAGGGAGGGAGTGCTCCCTTTGCACATCACTGCCTGGACTTAGGGAGGGAGTGCTGCGTGTCTTGAAATACCTCCACACCCGCCTAGAAAAAAGGCGCTCAGACCAAGAGACTTGGGAGATCCTGTAATAAGAAGCGATCTGCCCACGTTTTCTCGACAATCCTAGAGCTGACGTGCAGTGCTTTGGGTTCTGGCTTTATAAGGACGTTCACTTTGTCCCCTGTCCTCGGCACCAGCGTACAATGGGCCCTTGGTGATGCCGTGTGGGTGACACAGCAGTGAGTTCTACCTTTCTAGTGTTTTGGGCTGAGCTAGTGTGGTCCTCAGGGAGCAGGCCACGACACAGCGACCTCGTGTGGACGCAGTGAGGACGAAGCACCGGGAGAGACAGGGAGAACGTCTCCCCACCTGTTCTGTAAGCCAGGAGTGCTCTGAGATGGACAAAGACGGCACCTGAGAAACAGAGCTACCAGCCAGTATCCCGTGTGGACAGACTCAGGACTCCTCAGCAAGATGCTTTTAAATCAGGGCAAGGGCAGGTGAAGGCGTTTGCTGCCAACCTTGACTATTTGAGTTCCAGTCCCAAAGCATGATGGAAAGAGAGAACTGACTGCCATAAGTTTTCCTCTGATGTCTACATGTTCACTGTAGCATGTGCACGGATACACACACACACACACACACACACACACACACGCACACGCACACGCACACGCACACATACACATACACATACACACACACATACACGCTAATAACAATAAGTAATTTTTTGTGAGACAGGGTTTCTCTGTGTAGCCCTGGCTGTCCTGGAACTTGCTCTATAGACCAGGCTGGCTTCCAACTCACAGCGATCCACCTGCCTCTACCCCCTGAGTGCTGGGATTAAAGGCATGTGACACTATGCCTGAGTAATAAGTAGTATTTTAAGATTTTATTATTATTATTATTAATTTTCTTATTTTTTGGTTTTCAATTCAGAGTTCCTCTGTGCCAGGCGTGGTGGCATACACCCTTAGTCCCAGCACTCAGGAGGCAGAGGCAGGAGAATCTGTGAGTTTGAGGCCAGCCTGGTCTACAGAGTGAGTTCCAGGACAGCCAGGATTGTTACACAGTGAAGTCCTGTCTCAAAAAAACAAAAACAAGGCCGGGCGGTGGTGGCGCACGCCTTTAATCCCAGCACTCGGGAGGCAGAGCCAGGTGGATCTCTGTGAGTTCGAGGCCAGCCTGGTCTCCAAAGCGAGTTCCAGGAAAGGCGCAAAGCTACACAGAGAAACCCTGTCTCGAAAAACCAAAAACCAAAAACAAAAACAACCAACCAAACAAAACTAAAATAAAAAATAAAAAATAAAAGCATTAGAACTAATAAGTTCAGCAAAGGTGCTGGATACAAGATTAATATATAACAATCAATTACATTTCTTTCTTTCTTTCTTTTCTTTTCTTTTCTTTTCTTTTTTTTTTTTTTTTGGATTTTTGAGACAGGGTTTCTCTGCGTAGCTTTGCACCTTTCCTGGAGCTCACTTGGTAGCCCAGGCTGGCCTCGAACTCACAGAGATCCGCCTGGCTCTGCCTCCCAAGTGCTGGGATTAAAGGCGTGCGCCACCACCGCCCGGCCCAGTTGCATTTCTATACACTAGTGGTGGGCTATCATGGAATGAAATTAAAGAAATAATTCTGTTCATATAACATAAAATGAGATATTTGAAATGTGTTTTTATTTATTCATTGTGTGTGTACATGTGTGCACATACACGCATGCCATGGCATGCATATGGAGGCCAGATAGCTTTGGAAGAGTTTGCTGAGGTAGAGTTCATGGGGTTGTACACACCTGTAATCCCAGGACTTGAGGCTAAGGCAGGAGTTCAAGGTCACCCTGGGGTACATGAGACCCTTTCTCAGCAAACCAGAAAAGAAAAGAAAGATGAAAGAAAAAATTTAAAAATATACATTGCAAACCTCTAAACATTATTAAAAGTTTAAAACAACCTTTAAGATGGAAATATATACAGTGCTTACAGACTGGACCATTATTTTTCCTGTTTAGTGGCACTAGGAATCAAACCCAGGTGTGCATGGTTCTCAAGATGCATCACTAGCCCAGCTGCAAGACTTTGTATTGCTAAGATGCAACACTCCCCAGATGCTCTGAAAACCCAGTGCAGCTCCTGTTAAAATCCCAACTGTCCATTCTGCAAAAATTGCCAGACAGATCCCCAAATGAATATAAAAAGACAAGGGACACAGAATAGACAAAACACCCTCAGAAAATGACAGAATTGGAGAATTCACAGTTCCTGATTTCTGTGAGTCAGGTAATGTAGCTCAGTGGTAGAGTGTTTGTTTGTCAAGCACAAACAAGGCCCTGAGTTTGATCCCAGCACACACACACAAAAATTTCTAATTTTCTTTCTTGCCCATTTTCCTTCCTTCCTTCCTTCCTTCCTTCCTTCCTTCCTTCCTTCCTTCCTTCCTTCCTTCCTTCCTTCCTTCCTTCCTTCCCCCCTTCCTTCTTGTTTAATGTGTGTATGGCGGGGGTGTTTGTGTGTGTGGCCAGAATCTCACTTTGTAGTCCAGCCTGACATGAAACATGCTATATACATCAGGCTGGCCTCATGGCAATCTGCCTGTCTCAGGTGGTTGCGAGCTGCTGTTTAGGTGCTGGGAACTGAACCTGGGTCTCTGCATAAGCAGCAAATGCTCTTCACAGCTGTGCCATCTCTCCAGCCCCAGTTTCTAACATTTATTTGTTATTTATTTATTTAGAGGCAGGGTCTCACAATTTAGCCCT